CAAATAGGAATACCATTTGACACAGCAATTCCACTACTGGGAACATACCCTAAAAAACTGTAACTGCCACCCAAGCAGATATATGCACACCCATGTTAATTGCTGCTTTGTTCACAATAGCAAAGAGTTGGAAACAACCCAAGCACCCATTAACAAACGAATAGATAGAGAAGCTGTGGTATATTCACACAATGGAATACTGTGCAGCACTGAGAATCAAGGAATTAATGAAATATTATGCAGAAGAGGTGACCCTGGAGGACATTTTGCTGAGTGAAGTATCTCAATCACAAAAGGACAAATACTTCACAATGCCACTGTTATAAAACAGGACTGGCATTGGGGTTGGGTGGAAAACTAAGAAAAGGTGGCATAAATAATGTACCTGCATTGAAACAGATGAAGAATAGAACTGCTTAAAAAGAATATATGAGGGGCGGGGCCGCAGCGCACATCAGAGGTGGGCAGCGGACTGCTCGGAGCCCGGCCCAGGAACAATGTGATAAAGAAAACAGCGAGAAAGAGAAAAGTCACACCACAAAAAGCTGCTTTACACATGGAGAGATGCATGAAGAGTCCTTTTGGGGGAATCGTCTGGAGAGTGGACTCGTCAGAAAAAGGGTGAACTAGAAGACCTGGGGGGTGCCGACAAGATGGTGGACGGGGAGCTGAATGTGGATAGTCTCATCACCCGATTGCTGGAGGAACTCTACTATGCTTAGTGGTAAAAAAGATGCACTACATCAGATCTGATTTGACGGTACACGCACACAAAAATAAAAAATAAAAAAAATTTAAAAAAGGACTCCTTTAAAAAAAAAAAGATGCACTACAGCTGGCGGGAGCTGCGGCCCGGCGGAAGCTGCATCGCTACTGACCTGCCCTTGGGTTGACTCAGCAATTCTGATAAATCACCACCTGGAGCAGAATCATCACCTGTACTAGCCACCCCAGAGGAAATCGCTGAGATGCAAAGGAAAAATGAGCTGAAACTCAAGATAAAGGAAGAACATCTTGCTGCTTTGCAGTTTGAAGGCTGCAGCACTTCCATGATACATCTTCAAGGATATGAGCATGTACGGCTGGGCACGGTTGATGGCAGTGCATCTAAATTCCAGGGTCGATCTCCATAATAGTCTATGTGTTTCCTACTGCCAAAGGGGCCCTTTAGAGTAGTGAGAGAAGACCTTCACCCTGAAACCCACAGCGTCCCTTTTCAGCAGGAAGTAGCTAAGAGAATGCGCCATCCCCTTTTCCTTATGAATCAGGGTGAAATCTCTCTCAGGGAGGAAAGATAGGGAATGGCAAAGGACACACTGACAAGGGAGATTGATCAGAACTGGCTTTAGCGGGCTCTGTGGCAATTGGCAATTAAAACAGACATGGGGGGTGGGGAGGGAGGAACGGACTAGGGAGGAGGGTGGAGAAAGCGGTGCAACAATGAATGAATGAAAACCCCCAAAAAAAGAATATATGATAGGTTATTTGCATGACAATAGTCCATAATAAGAGCTTCATAGTCAAGTGGACTGGGTGGAGGGGGGGAATTGTACAACAATGAAAGATTTTTTTTTAAAGAGAAAAGCCAACTGGGGAGGATAGGCAGGGAGGACAATGTGCAAAAATGAATGAATGGAAATTCAAGTTCTGTATAACTTTGATTAAAATCTCAAAAAAAATCAGAATGCTTGGTAGCAGCATATCAGAAATTAGAAGCTGTGTGCATTAGACAAACTTACAAGGACCTCTTTTAAATTCTGAATAACAAGGACATCAGTTAAAGGACTAAGGTGCACCTGACACAAGCCATAGTATTTTCAGTCACTTTTATGTTGTTGGACTGTGTATAAGGAAGATTGAATTGCCTTTGCATTGTGATGTTGGTTAAGAGTATTGAGTATTTTTTAAAGAGTACAGAGTATTCTTGAGTTGCCAAAAGAACAAACAAATCTGTCTTTAAAATGCAGCACTGAAACCTGTGTTTGTTATATGTGACCAGGCTCACTATAAGCAGAGCCTGGTTGCATTAATTTTTACTTTCACTGAAGCCTATTAACAGTCAAGATTCATGAGCATACCTGTCTTCAGAGCCTCAGGGATCTTGTGATGGTCTTATTCAGTTGTTCTTATTGATAGTTTAATACTCTTTAACACATACTTTTTAAAACATAAATGCCACCCAACCAGATATTTTTGTCAAAGTTTTTGATAACATATAAGTGCTTTAAAAACCCCAATTACTTAGAAAACCAATTTTCTAAATAATGATGTGCTACCCAGTTCACAGAATGAGTATATATTGTATGTTTTATGGTGCTGTGAGATTAGAATAGTTACTCAGAATAAACCTTGTGGGGTTTGTGTGTGTGTGTGTGGGGGGGAAACCAAAACAGCAAAGGTGTTCCTTTGGCCATGTTATCAGGAGGAGCAGTTCCTTGCAAGGTAGACATCATGCTTGGAATAGTACAGAGTCAAAGGGAAAAAAAAAAAGAAAGCTCTTCAACAAAATGGTTTTGATATGAGCTTGTTATTGTTGTTAGGTGCTATCAGGTCAAGTATGACCCATAGTGACCCTGTGAACTTTAGTTAGATCTGAACCCTGTCCTATCCTGTTCCAACCTCACAATGTCTGACATACTTGATTTCATTTGCTGCAGTCAACATGTCAATCCATCTCATTGAGGGTTTTCTTCTTTTTTGCCGACTCTCCATCTTTCCAAGTATGAGGTTCCTTTCCTAGGAATAGCTTCTCCTAACAACATACCCAGAGTATGAGATGAAGTTTCATCATTTTTGCCTCCAAGGAACACTCTGGCTGCATTTTATTCAAGACGTATTTGTTCTTTTGTCAGTCCATGGGATATTTAGTACTCTTCTCCAATGACACTACTCAGAGGCATCAATTCTTCTGTCATTCTTACCCATTGTACAGCTCTCAAATGCAAAGGAAGTGATTAGAAAGACCATGGCCTGAATCAGATGTACCTTAGTCCTCAAATTCATATTGCTCCTCAATAAATTTGAGAGATCCCTGAATGCACTGTTGTACCAAGTGTGCTGATTTTGGAGCCAAGTAAGATGATGTAATTGACAGTTTCAATCTTTTCTTCATCTATCATGATGTTGCCTATATGTCCAATGGTGAGAATTTTTGTTTTCTTGATGTTGAAATGCCATCCTATTGAAGGTTGTATTCTTTGATCTTCTGCAACAAGTGCTTCAAGTAATTTGCCTTTCAGCAAGTAGAGTTGCATCATCTGAATAGCATAGGTTATTGTTGAGTCTTCCTCTGATCCTGATTCCACATTCTTCGTAGAGTCCAACATCTCGAATAATTTACTCTCTCAATAATGAGCTTAAACACAGAACAGTATAAGAATGCAAGATTGAGCAAAGTTTAGATCTATTGTACATAGAGTCATTATGAGTAAAAGTAGATTTGATGACATCTAACAACATCTCCTGCAAGAGTTGGACTGAGAGAAACTCCACATGCACCTAGCCCAGTGGTTACCAGATGTGGATATCCTTTGTGAGTATGGAAAAAGGGTGGAGAATGCTGGGGTCATTGTTCCTGAGGCCTGGCTTGTTCTCCAGGGGTCCTGTGTACCCTGAATCCACTTCACCAATTCCAGCAACTGATAAGAAAGTACTGATGTCCCTCAGAGCTCTCTTGATCCTGAGCATCTTTGCCTGAATTCTCGTCTATATTATTTGATCTCTAACTATACACATGTTCTTGTTATTTATTTTATTACTAGGGTTATTTTAGTATCTGCTAAGTAAGAAATGTTTACACATTACTTGGGGTTCACAGTTGCTAAGTCTCATTTGTAAACTTTCCAAGATCTAATGTGATAGGCATACCTGTTATGTTCCTGTCATTAGCTGTCCCCCTCCATTGCTTAGCTGTGTCATGGGGCATTTTTTTCAGTCCCTTGTAGTTGAACAGTAACTCTGCTATAACACACAAACTATAATGCCCATCTTCACCAGGGTGACTTTGTATCTGAGTGTGGCCATTTGTAAGATCATGTTGCAAAGAAGGAATGACCAAGTCAGAGGGCATGTATGTTTTGAATTTTGGTGACTTTGTCAAATTGCCCTCTGCAGAGGTGGAACCATTTTTATATCACCAACCACAGTAAACAGTCCTGCTTCCTTCTACAGCACATGTGGGCATCAAACATTTAATTTACTAATCTTATTGACATATTTCAACAGACACTGCCCTGTTTGATGTTATTCAGATAATATAAACCTTCATTTTGATTTTTAAGTTAATTTTAAATTGAGTTCCACTTAATGTAAGAAAATTAAATCTTTTCCAGGACTTGACAAACTAAAGCAGAAAAAAACCCCAAACAAACAACAACAACAAAAAAAGCCAAATAAAGCAGCACTGCCTACTTGGGGTTATAACCAAATCAAAATAACCATCTGTAAGTTGAGTGCTTATTAGGTGCTGACTCTTCTTCAAATTATTTTTCATGCGTTATTTCATTTGGTCTTTACAATACCTATAACATGCATAGCATCTTTATACGCATTTTACAGATGAGAACATGGAGCCTCACAAATGTTACATTAATTGGCTCAAGATCACATAGAAATTGAGCCAAGGTTAGCTTGATGCCTTAAAGTTTGCCACCTTATGGGGGTTTTTTTGTTTGTTTGGGTTGCTTTTTGTGGGGTTTTGGGGTTTTTTTGGTGGTTTAGTTGTTGTTGTTGTTGTGTACTGGCGAATCGGATCTGATTGGCACAGGAGGAGATTGCCCCTACTTCTCCAGCAAAGCATTTGGTAGATTTTAACCAATTGCCTTCAGGATTGCTGTGCAGCTTCTTGCCATTAGACCACTAGAGCTCCCTTATCCCACCTAATGTTGACAGAAACTGTGGACGGGCTAGGAATCCCAAAACAGTGCTGCTTGGAAAGACTACCAGGTGTGCCCACAATCCAGTGACAGGTATGTGAAGCTTTCGCTCCTACTCCTTCCCAGGTTGTCTATTTGCGACGCTTCAAGGATCTTCGAACACTCAGTCTTTCTGGGAACCCCATCTCTGAGGCAGAGGATTACAAGACATTCATCTGTGCCTACCTTCCTGATCTGGTGTACCTGGACTTTCATCGTATTGATGATGTCACGGCAAGTGTCTTTCCTTGTAGTTCCCAGATTGTGATATAGGCTCAGCAGGCCCCAGGTGGCACAGAATTTGAGCAAGACCACATGCCTCCTGCAAGTGTCAGAGCCATTGCATGGTCCTCACCCTGGCTATTGAGTGTACTGACACTCCCAGATGTGCCCTCAGAGCCCCCTAGTCACCTCTGACTGTACTGACTGTGCTGGCCCTGCCAGGTATGCCCTCAGAGCCCCCATGGTCACCTCTGTGTGTGCAGTGCCAGCCCTGCAAGGTGTGCTCCTAGAGTCCTCCCAACCACTGCAGGGTCAGACTTTCCAGATGACAAAACTGAAATGGACCAGAGAGGGCCAACCACTCACTAACTAGGGTCATCTGGATCCACACCTGGCCACCTGGCCTCAGTCTGTCGGCTGGCACACTATGTTACTCATCACAGAATCTACCAGCATATTACCAAGGTGACAGCTGGGCCCAGTGTGGGTCCCTACTAGCTTGTCATGCTTACTGTGATACAGGGCCTCTCCTCTGATTGCTACCTGCACTGCCTTTCTGCTTAGGCTCTGTTTCTCTGACCCCCGTGATGGCCTCTCAGCTGGAGCACTGTTGGCAGTAGGATCTTTCTGTGGAGTCTTTCCCTTCAGATAAAGGGAGGGAAATCCCAGTACAACAGTGAGTCCTTGGACAGCAGAATGGTGTTCTTGGTGCTAGATGCCAGGGACATAGGACCGCACAGCCCACTGCTTCCTGCATAGCGCCCTCAAGAGAAGACAGACATTGTTGGGGCACTGACTCCAGAGGACTGCACAACCTGGGCCCGGTGTAGGCTCTACAGTTATTACATGCATGCAGGTGCAGCTCCCTCCCTTAAGGGCACCTCCTCAGGAAGTCAGCAGAGATAACACAGGGCCAGAAAGCTGCCCATCCACTGATCCTCTTCTCTCTGAACCTGCTGCTCTCTCTTCTGTGACAGTATGAGGATCTGAGGTTTTGAATCCCAAGACTCTGGAGTCTTACTCTTCATTTAGTTCATAATTTATTTATCCCTTCCTTTTTATTGTGGTTTTAATTTCATTCATAATTTAAAAGATAATATAGGCACAAGTCTTGTGCCAGTTAAAGATTAGTTTGGCCACATTTTCCTTGTTAGAAAATCATGTTGTTGTTGTTGTGGACCATAGAATCAGGACTGACCTGCAGCTGACCCTCTGGTGGGCTCTCCAAGGCAGTTAATTGCACAGGAGGAGATTGCTCATCATAGGGAGGTCTTATACTCTGGTGACTAGAATCCCTCCTGAGGCAGTTTCCTTAGACCTGCAAAGCTCCTCCTGTAGGAAGCAGGCAAGACCCTGCAAGGAAACTACAGCTTCTGTCAAGATTCAGAGGCTTGCTCAGATTCCCTAAGATGAAGAATAAGAAAAAGGTCTTAGAAGTGGAGTTCATCAGGGCAGAGGCACCTGGAACCCCAGCCCACTAATTTGACACCAACTACAGCCTCCCCTAAGCCCCTGGCTGCTTTGCTCAGTAGAGCACTAGGGCAGTGGGACAGGCACAGGCTGGTAGGTACAGGCAGCTTCATGGGCCTCTGCCTCAGTGGGCTTTAAAGAACAGCCACTCTGACTTCCTGGGACCCACATTCACACCAAGGCCTTCACATGTTTCCAGCCTGACTGGTCACAGTTGAAGGAGCAAGGTGGGTAGAGCCTAAAAGCTGGGAAGGTTTTGTATGCTGGGGCTCATTCTGTTGAAGAGTCATCATAGAGAAGTCTAAGCAGATGAAGTGTCATACAGCATTTCAGATATTTGGTGACAGCTATGGTGAAAGGAGTAGAGAGAAAGATAGGCATGACAAGGTGAGGGAACAAATGCCATGGTCATCTGAAGGAGTGTATGTGGGAGAGATAGTGGCCTCATAGAAGGAACAGCTACAAAAAGGGAAAGGGAGGAGCAAGTGCTAGATACCGTCCTATGTAAAGATATTTAGTAATGAACTGTTCATTGAAGCAGGTGGTGGTGGTTGTTGTGTGCCGAGTCGGAACCAATCCATAGCTGACCCTCTGGCGGGTTTTCAGAGGCAGTTAATTGCATGAGAGTAGACTGCCCATCTTTCTCCGGTGTAACAGCTGATGGCAGCACAGCTTCTTGCCAGTAGACCACCAGTGCTCCCTGAAGTACTTGAAGCATAGGTATATAAAAAATAATAACTTAAGATATTTTTTAAAATAATATCAACTTTGTGTAAGATAGATGATGAGAGAGATAAATAGAAGCTGTTTTGTAGCCAAGGAGCCACACTCAAGTGGAAGACTATGACTACCTGTAGTGGTGGGGGAGTAGAAGCGGGAAAAGGAGTGACACCCAGGCAGCAGCTGGTAGTGACGCCGGACAGACCAGAGGAAAGGTGTGGCTCAGCCTGCCTTCATCTGTGGGCCACCTTACTGGAGAGAGACATCAAAGGCTTTGAATTTATAGATAGAAGTATTGGAGGAGGGAAGAAAGCTAACAGGATCCACGACATTGGTTCTCAGTGGGCTGACCTGGCTCAGTGGGTCCTAGGAAGGCTACTCATTGAAGTGGCTTCTGAGCTGTGATGGGCAAGATAGCAGGAGTTGTCTAGGTGAAGGATTGGCTGGCCAGAGGCGGCATGGTAAGCAGGCCAGTGGCAGATGCTCGGAGTTAGGAAGACAGTGGGCAATAGGTGAGGAGGTCCTTGAAGGCTGTGCAGGGAAGCCTTAGAAAGCAAGCCAGAGCTGACAAGAACAAATGTGCAGACAAGTATGCTGGGCTGATGGTTGAAGGGTAGAGTAGAGGGGGTCAGGGGAGCAGGGAACAGCTAGAGGCTGAAGCAGGGGTGCTGACAAGAAATGCTGGTGAGATGGGGACAGATGAGAGGAGTAGAAGGGAGGACAGACCTGGGCATGAGCTGTGGTAGGGGGCTTCAAGCTTGTGTGCTTTGTGGGCTGTATGCTGGGGACCCCTCATTGAGGAATGGTGGTGGGCAGATGATCAGAGGTTCAGATGTGGAAATCACAGATGAGAGTTATTGAGGTGTGTAGAACTAGCTGAAAAAGTCCACGTGGAGGAGACCTGGACCTAGGGTGGACCATTAGGAATGAACATAATCTGCTTCATATGGCCTCCTTTTCTGATGCAACCCAAATTCAATACTTAAGATGAGTCATGCACACCTGCACAGTGTTCACACCCTGGCTCCTAGTCACCAAGCACATAGATGATTGAGGGGATAAGGCCAATTGTTCATGGTCCCCATCGTTCCAGAGAGAGGAGGCAGAGACGAAGCACCAGTACACCATTGATGAATTAAAGCACCGAGAAAGCCTGGCACAGGCCCAGTACGAGGAGGCGCAGGTCCAGAGGGAGCAATTGGAGGCACACAAGGTAGGCCTCTGCCCTAACTCCTCTCTACACTGTGTCAGAGGCACCCAGAGCAAGCATCTACCAGATTAGACCAATTAGACTGAAAGCTCACCTTTTGATTGAAGACTGAGGCTGCTCAGCAATGCCTGAGGCTGTTCAAGCCGCTCCCATCACAGAACCTGGCACTCTCACTCACTTGCTCCACAATGCCAGCTGCTGTCCCTGTCTGGGCTTCATGGCCTCTGCCGCTTTGTACTGTCTGCATGTTGGAGCTTCTTTCAAACCCCCAGCATACCAGGAACAGTGTGTGGCTCTGAGCACAATAGCTCTCACCATCCCCATCGGTCAGCCCACTGTTCTCTGTTCTCTAGTGAGATGAGCCCTGCAGAGTGTTCTGAAAGCTGTCCTGCAGTGCAGTGCCACCACCAGAATGCTTCTCCAGGACACCTCCCCATCTTCCAGCACAGTGTCCACATAGGGCTCATTGGAGTGAGTTCATGCAGCTATATTTGACCTGTTTATGTCTGCAGGCTGGGTTCATTGAGCACCTTGATGGCTCCTTCCTCTTTGACAGCATGTATGCTGAGGACATAGAAGGCAACAAGCTATCCTATCTACCAGGCATCGGGGAGCTTCTCGAGGCATATCCTTTCAAGTTCCCTGCTGTTGCCTCTAGCAGAACCTAGAGTGTCTGTGCCACAATCCTGCCTCAATAAGATGCCTTTCTCTCTGGGCCTCAGTTTCCCTATCTTGTGAGACTATCAAAGAGCACTTTAGAGCAATATTTCACACCTGGGTCAGCAAGCACCAGTGAGACATGCTGCCTAGAGTTTAGAGGGTTCTGTCGTTCTGATCATTGTGTTACAGGTACCCAGAGTTGGGAACACTGAGAACACATTCTGTGCTGGTGATCTTTGTCAATTTAAGTCGAGTTTCCTAGTCATGATGTGCTTTGTCTATGTTATTTATTGTTTTCTGCACACACATCCTCCAACACATGGTGAGTGGGCACTGTTCACAATCCCACTTTTTATAGTCAGAGGAGCTAAGGCTTGGCAAGGTTCAGTGACTTGTCTGGTCAAATAATTAGAAACTTGAAGTTTGAACCCTCACTTGAGTCCTAAAAACCTATAGTCTAGCCTTCAATTTCCTCAACAGCTTGTTGAATAGAAATTCACTCCTAAAATCCCAACATTCCAGAAATCATGGCAGCAGAATGTGGAGGTGAAACAGAGGAGTGCGAGGAGGGTGTCCAACACTGAGTGAGTGGTTAAGAGCAGGGCTTTTGGGCAAGGCTCCCACCTGGCAACACCTGAAAGGTGGTGACCTACACACAGGCTGATCCATGTTGGAATCTCTGCTGTAGTATATCATGGCTGACTATGGGTGAATCATTTCACCTCTCTGAACATTGGTCTCCATCCCTGAGGATGGCTTCATCTTCCTGGCCTCAGTGGCATATTCCTCAGAAAGATACCATGTTCAGAGGAAGACACTGAAGTCCAGAGAAAGCTTGTGACCTTCTGGAGATCCAGCATCTGCAGTACAAGCAGGTCTTGAATCTGGGTCTGTCTGCCCTCAACACACCAGCAGTAGGGGTAGACCAGGGCTGGCCCACAGAGGTGCTCTGCTCGATTATACACAATAGAGAAATCCCCCAGGCACTCAGTCCTGCCCTCTCCATCAGAGTGTTCTCAGTCTGACACTTCCTGTTCTGCCAGCCTCTCCCTGACATAACTCCTATTTCTGAATCCATCAGACTGAGGATTAAGACCCCCGTCTGCAGACATGGCTATGACTCTATTTGGTCCTGGTTCTCATCCTCAATTTCTTCATCAGCAGATAGACCAGATGAAACAGATTACATGTCTCTTGTACTGAGCATCAGTGTGTGTTCATCCAAAAGTGTTTATGCTGCTTTCATATGGTTTTTACCTGTGGTCCCTTGGCAGTCGTGTCTTGACACAGAGTGAGCCTCCTTGACAGTTTTTTACCTATAAGGACAAATTTGTCATCACCTGCCTCAATATTTTTGAGTATGGCCTGAAACAGCAAGAAAAGCGGAAAGCAGAGATCGACACCTTCACTGAGTGCATCCAAGAAGCCATCCAGGAGAACCAGGAGCAAGGCAAACAAAAGATTGCTGAATTTGAAGAGAAGCACCTATTGGTAGGTCCTTCCCCTTTCAAGTCTTGTCCTTGTCCCCCCTCCAAGAGCAGAGTTGCCAGCCTTAGGCTGTGGTCCTCTAGACAGCCAAGCACACAACCATGCTTGGTTCTCCAGTGGCCTAGCCCCACCTAAGGGCTACAATTCATGTGTCCTGGTAGCTGCTAAGGCTCAAGGTCATTATCCCCAGTGATAGGTCACAAAGCTGGCAAGTGTCAGCCTCATGTCACCCACAATCACAGCTCCTCTTTGTGCTCTGACTAAGCTGAGCAAGAGACCATAAGGTGCCCTTCCCATAAACTGCTTGTGAGTTCAAGCACCTTCCCCTGCTTTAGCAGCAGCCTCAATAATACACTTACTACCACATTATTCTTAATTTTGCTATTACTATTACTTCATTTATTCATTCATTCTTTTAATGTATGTGAAATCCAGAGCCACTTTTGCCCCGCCCATAATACTCCATGTCTATCACTAATGTCAGACTGGAGTCCCTGGAGGGTAGTGCATGGGCCATTGGTTGCAAAGAATGCATCAAGGATCATGAAGTTGGCAGAACCAGATTTAAAAGAGGCTGTGAAACTAGGGCTATTATTGCTGATGTCAGATAAATCTTAGCTGAAAGTAGAGAATACCAGAAAGAATATGTATTTTATTAACTGTGCGAAAACATGCAGTTGTGTGGGTTGTAACAAAATGTTAATGATATTACAAAGAATGTGAAAGTCAGAACACTTAATTGTGCTCATGAGGTGTCTGCATACACAAAAGAGGCTGTTGTAACGGAGGATGGGGATACTGCATGGTTTAAAATGATGAAAAGTATGTGTCAGGGTTGTACTTTTCATCATACCAATTCAATCTATATTTTGAGCAAATAATACAAGAAATTTGTATAAAGAAGCATGTAGCATCAGGATTGGAGAAAAACTCATCAACAACTTGGAATATGCAGATGGTGCAATCTTGTTTGCAAAAAACAAATCCAACATGAAACATTTACTTATAAATCTCAGAGACAATAGTCTTTAGTATGGATTACACCTCAACATCAAAGAAACAAAAATACTACAACTGGATCAATATCTAACATTATGATAAACTGAGTAAAGATTGAAGTTGTGAAGGATTTCAGTTTACTTGGATCAACACCCATGAAAACAACAGGTAAGAAATTAAACAGTGTGTTGCATTGTGCAAATCTTTTGTAAAAGACCTCTTAAAATTCTAAAGAGCAGAAAAAATGAATGGCTGGAAACCTTAAGTCTCTGTAAACTTTCATTAAAATTAATAAATAAATTTAAGAACAAAACCAAAAAAATTCTAAAGAGCAAGAATATCACTAAGGTGCACCTGACACAAGCCATGGGATTTCCAAGACAAGGAAATAGTTCTATAAACTTTTGCAGTCTCAAGTTGATCAAACATGTAATCAAGATTTAATAATAATAATAATAATTGATGACTGGATGTAAAAGTTGGGAACAAGGAAGAAGGAACAGTAGTTAGAAAATATGGACTTGGTGACAAAATGAGGCTGAAGGTAGAATGACAAAATTTTATTCAATCAAATGGCAACTTTACACATAGACTTCACCTTACACAGGAATCATTTATTATATCTGTGGAAAGCTCAATATTAGTTGTGAAAACTAGGCAGATGCTGACTATGGAACAGACCATCAACTTCTCAGTTGCAAGTTCAAACTGAAGCTAAAGAAAATGAAAACAAAGCCACAGAACCAAAGTTTGACCTTGAGTCCTATTCTATTCTATTCTAACCTATTCTATTCTATTCTATTCTATTCTATTCTATTCTATTCTATTCTATTCTATTCTATTCTATTCTATTCTATTCTATTCTATTCTATTCTATTCTATTCTATTCTATTCTATTCTATTTGAATTTAAAATGCGTGTAGGAACAGGTTTGAGGCCTTGAGCACTAATGAACAAAGACTTATGAGCTATGGGAGAATATTATCATCCATTAAGAATGTAAGAGGTAATTATGAAGACAGAAGAGGAAGAAAAGATCAAGATGGATGTTGGAAGAGACAAAGTATTGCATTAGAATGCCGAAAAGCATGCTAAAAAAAAAAAAAAAAAAAAAAAGGAGACCTAACCCAGAACATTTGATTATGCTTATGTGAAACCTTTACTGGGACCAAAAGGCAGTCATCAGAATAGAGCAAGGAGACACTATATGGTTCTGAAGGGACAGCCAGGACCCCCCTTTTCAGGTGTCTGGGTGTCTAGTGCCCCCTAGGAGCTTAACCCAAATTCAATCTTGAACAGAACTCATTAACTACAGAGGCAGGCACGAGCCATTAAAATTCTTAGTTTTAGAAGCGGGCGGTAAAAGAAGAATAAACACCAGGGCGCCTTGGGAAGCCTCATGAGGCAACAGTTATCAGATTAAAAGTAACCAATTAACTGAAGCTACGTGACTCTGGAAAAGCAACATAGGTGACACGAAGAGGGCAGAGGCGGGCAAATAAGCCCGCCAATTAGGAGCCAAAGCAAATGACTGATTTGCCCATCAACCATGTTCCAAATTAACCCACCCTAAGTGGAAGCATCCGGGAAGGCCTTAAAAATCGGGATACAGGCGGATTAGCTTTCTCTTGTTTGTCATCTCGCCACTCAGGGAGAGAGCTTCCACATGTGGAAAAATTATTGAGTCCCCTGCAGCCTCCGCAGTACGCCCCTCAGCCAGCAGCTCCAGCACCACCGCGGGCGGCTGCCTGAGCGCAGCAGAGGCGGTGGGGACCACACTGGGAAGCTGCCGATCCGCTCTTCCTGCGCTCCCGCTGCGTTGTCTACATGAGGCCGGTCTGTGGCGTCCGTGCGCACTGAGAACATTTACAGTGCTACACCAAGGGTAGAAGCCTGCTACTCAGTTGGATTTGAAATTCCAGAAGAATTGGCCTTTGTGAGAAGCAGGAAACAATTTAAAATTCTGTCTCTTAGCTTTCCTTTTTATTTCATATGGAAAAACATCGAGAAACCATGAACAGCTTTAGTAATGAAGAGTTTGACTGCCATTTCCTTGATGAAGGTTTTACTGCCAAGGTTATTCTGGACCAAAAAATTAATGAAGTTTCCTCTTCAGATGATAAAGATACCTTTTATGTTGTGGACCTTGGAGACATCCTGAAGAAGCATCTAAGATAGCTAAAAGCTCCTCCTCGGGTCACTCCCTTTTATGCAGTCAAATGTAATGATAGCAGAGCCATAGTGAAGACCCTGGCTACCATTGGGACAGGATTTGACTGTGCTAGTAAGAATGAAATACAGCTGGTGCAGTCTTTGGGTGCCTCCAGAGAGGATAATCTATGCAAATCCTTGTAAACAAGTATCTCAAATTAAGTATGCTGCCAATAATGGAGTTCAGATGATGACTTTTGATAGTGAAGTAGAGCTGATGAAAGTTGCCGGGGACATCCAAAGGCAAAGTTGGTTTTGCGGATTGCCACTGATGATTCCAAAGCAGTCTGTTGCCTTAGTGTTAAATTTGGTGCCACACTCAAAACCAGCAGGCTTCTTTTAGAAAGGGCTAAAGAACTCAACATTGATGTCATTGGTGTCAGCTTCCACGTGGGTACTGGCTGTACCGACCCAGAGACCTTTGTGCAAGCAATATCTGATGCCCATTGTGTCTTTGACATGGGAGCTGAGGTTGGTTTTAGCATGTATCTGCTTGATATTGGTGGTGGCTTTCCTGGATCTGAGGATGTGAAGCTTAAATTTGAAGAGATCACCAATGTAATCAATCCGGCATTGGACAAGTATTTTCCATCAGACTGTGGAATAAAAATCATAGTTGAACCAGGCAGATACTATGTTGCATCAGCTTTCACTCTTGCTGTTAATATCATTGCCAAGAAACTTGTGTTAAAAGAACACACAGGCTCTGATGACGAAGATGAATCGAGTGAACAAACCTTTATGTATTATGTGAATGATGGGGTTTATGGCTCATTTAATTGCATCCTTTATGATCATGCACATGTAAAGCCCCTGCTGCAAAAGAGACCCAAACCAGATGAGAAGTATTACTCATCTAGCATATGGGGACCAACATGTGATGGCCTGGATCGGATTGTTGAGCGCTGTAACCTGCCAGAAGTGCATGTGGGGGACTGGATGTTGTTTGAAAATGTGGGTGCTTACACTGTTGCTGCTGCCTCTACTTTCAATGGGTTCCAGAGGCCAATTATCTACTATGTGATGTCTGGGCCAACATGGCAACTCATGCAGCAAATCAAGAACCATGAGTATCCACTTGAAGTGAAGGAGCAGGATGTCAGCACTCTGCCCTTGTCTTGTGCTTGGAAAAGTGGAATGAAACGGCATCCAACAAGTTGTGCTTCAGCTAGTATTAATGTGTAGATACCATTTTAGTAGCTGTTAACTCCAAGTTTAGCTTGAATTAAAGGATTTGGGGGGACCATTTAACTTAATTATTGCTACTTTTGAAATTTTATATGAGTAGGGTGGGATGGAACAGTATGGAAGACTAGGCGATGGGGTCACACTTATCTGTGTTCCTATGGAAACTATTTGAATATTTGTTTTATATACATTTTTATTCACTTTTCACACATGCTACTAAAGAATGCACCCAGCTGCTGAGCAAGCATTTGTAGCTTGTCCAGGGGCAGAATGGGCCAAAGATTAGTGTTGTGACCTGTTTTAAAAATAAAGTATCTTGACATAAAAAAAATTATTAATTATTCTGCAGAATAAACTGCTCTCTTTGTTTTTACATGCTTGAGGAAGTTCCTTTCAGGCGGCACTTCCTAGGCACGACAGTTCTATATGGTTCAAAATCAGGAAGGGGGTCCACCCGGGATGTATTCTGTCTAGATACCTTTTCAATGCAGAACAGATCATCTGGGACGCTGGGCTGTATAAGGAGGAATGTGGCATAAGGATTGGAGGAAGATTCATCAACAACTTATGTTATGCAGATGACACAACCCTGCTTGCTGAAACTG